ATGATTCCAGCTTTATGACATGGCGCATTATCCTGCTGAAAGTAGCCATCAGAAGTTGGGTACATTGTGGTCATAAAGGGATGGACATGGTCAGCAACAATACTCAGGTAGGCTGTGGCGTTGCAACGATGCTCAATTGGTACCAAGGGGCCCAAAGAGTGCCAAGAAAATATTCCCCACACCATGACACCACCACCACCAGCCTGAACCGTTGATACAAGGCAGGATGGATCCATGCTTTCATGTTGTTGACGCCAAATTCTGACCCTACCATCCGAATGTCGCAGCAGAAATCGAGACTCATCAGACCAGGCAACGTTTTTCCAATCTTCTATTGTCCAATTTCAATGAGCTTGTGCAAATTGTAGCCTCAGTTTCCTGTTCTTAGCTGAAAGGAGTGGCACCCGGCGTGATCTTCTGCTGCTGTAGCCCATCTGCCTCAAAGTTCGACGTACTGTGTGTTCAGAGATGCTCTTCTGCCTACCTTGGTTGTAACGGGTGGTTATTTGAGTCACTGTTGCCTTTCTATCAGCTCGAACCAGTCTGGCCATTCTCCTCTGACCTCTGGCATCAACAAGGCATTTCCGCCCACAGAACTGCCGCTCACTGGATATTTTTTCTTTTTCAGACCATTCTCTGTAAACCCTAGAGATGGTTGTGCGTGAAAATCCCAGTAGATCAGCAGTTTCTGAAATACTCAGACCAGCCCTTCTGGCACCAACAACCATGCCACGTTCAAAGTCACTCAAATCACCTTTCTTCCCCATACTGATGCTCGGTTTGAACTGCAGGAGATTGTCTTGACCATGTCTACATGCCTAAATGCACTAAGTTGCCGCCATGTGATTGGCTGATTAGAAATTAAGTGTTAACGAGCAGTTGGACAGGTGTACCTAATAAAGTGGCCGGTGAGTGTATATACAGACTATGGTAAAAACTGACAACATGCACATGTGTTATTCTAATGACATTTCAGTCACAAGTTTTTGCTTCCTTTTTACACTTGTTGTACAGAGGTGACAAAACATCCTTCATTCAATCCACTTTTTCACCCAAACACAAACAAACCAATGTTTAAGAAATGATGGATAATGTCTTTGGAGGACATCATTTATAAAACAACTGATCAATAGTCTGACATTAGGGTTGGTATAAACAACCCCCTCCAAATAAAGACATCCTGCAACAATACAGTAGAATACAAACTATATTATTGCCTAGGCAGAGTCCAAGTATGATTATCTGAATGCACCCTGCTCAGTTCGTGGTTTGTATCATTTTAGGTCTCTAAAACGTTGACCTGAAGTCACCCACTCTAATGTGAAAATCAGAAATTCTTGTAGTTTTTGCTCCCCTGTCAGATTTCATTTTTTAAGCTCAGTCAGGTTTCACAACCACAAGCAGATGCAGGGAAACAAGGTCATCGTTTTATCACACATGCTTAGACAGTTGATTCTGCACAGAGAAACATAAACAGTGCTCCACCTTATCACAGATCTGTTTGTGCGTTTGTCCTATTGTCCTGTAGCGCTGCTCCCATACATCCACACACTCAATATCCCTGCCTTTTATTAGTCGTTAGGCTGTGCTGCAGGAGCCACGAGGGAGGCGTGGAAAAGACCACAAAGCTAAGGAGAGGAACAAATCAGACAGTCTGTAAAAAGACAAGTGAGAGGTGTCCTCTGCCTCTATGTCAAGCAGGTAAGGACTACAAATCTTTAAAACTGTCAGGGAGAGAACAAACATCATTCATCCTCTGACTCCAGGGGCTCCACATCTAAAGTCAGTGTTCCCTCTCAGAGGGCTGTATTGGTTAGTTCAGTAAGTTTTGACTTGACTATTACTACTGAATGTTTCACTTGACTCTGAAGTTAAAAAAACAGCTCCCAGAACAATGACAGACACTGACATTGTTTTGGGAAGAAATGAAGTGTCTTTGCATTTCAGATAATCATGAATGAACTCCAAAATAAACAGCTCTTAGTGTTGTCACATATCTTTAAATAGATCAGAAATTTCTACTTTATTTCAGTCTATGTTTCTTTGTGTGTGTGTTTGTCTATTTAAGATAGGGTCGGGAGCATTGTTCGCTATCAATTCTTAGTTATCAGGGTGTCATACACTGTGCCGATATTGAGACAGATTCTGATATGAATTGACATAACATAACATTGTATCCCTTGTCAAACTATCCCTCTTAATCACATGTATTGGCAAAAATGTTTCCAAGACAATCTTCCAAAGGTCACTGAACAGTGACATTCATGGGCTGATCCTTCTCAAGAAATGTTCTGTGAATTCAGATTCAGATAATGAATGGACAAACCACTGTCATAATAAGTGCTTTGACTGTATTATTAAGTGGACATGCTGTGCGGCACTAATCTGTATATATACTTTATGTAAATCAGGCCCAAACTGAAGGATGTTTTTCCATTTCATTGCATACTCAAATGCAAAGACACTTAAGAAATCCACTTTTTCAATGGAACCAAAGGCTCTCACAAGACTTTTTAAGCTTTAAAATTTTAAAAACTATACTTATATCACCACACTTGAGAGAAACTATTGAGAAAGTATGCATTTATGTATTGTTCAGCACCACCTGTGGACAAAGAGTTCCCTCTTACTGTATATCCTTGCTGATTATCTTTTTTTTAAACAATACACCAGTTTCCACAACAAAAGCATCACTCCTGTAATTTTTTCCCCCTATGGAGACTATAAACAAAAGCTGTTTATCAGATACATGCCCGTTAAGATGTCAAAATAACTAAACTAGAATAATTAAGCTGTCCCTGATGGTCTGGTTTGCTTTGTGAGTTGTAGAGAGATGTTTGTACTATTTTCACTCTGTTTGTAACCAGCGGCTACAACAGGCACCTGATTTCTGTCTTATTGAAAGCATTAATCTTATAAAGTGTTCTTTAATTTATTCATTTTCATGAAAACATCTTATGTTTTGCTTTTCAGGTTAATGATCTGAACATTTATACTTGAAAAAAAAAGATTATTGTGACGTTCACAGCTTTTTCTTGTGAAAGTTATTTTGAGGTATTAGCTACTGATCCATCAAATACTTTCAAATATATACAAAAAACATTTTTCTATTAAGCAAAAAATGCTTTTGCTGTAAAATGTTGAGGAAACTGTCATCTGAAAAATGAATACTGTGAAGTGAAAGAGTGTTTTATGCAAATTAAGAATCATGGCAGAGTGAGCATGACCCTGATGCAAAGTAAAGGTGTTATTAGGTATAAACCAACCGACACAAAAACCCAGTCAAAATGATTTTATTGATTTAAATGGGATTTATTTATGCAGTCAAAAGAAAATTGTCCATCAGTCTTCCCAGTCGGTGATGTTTCCATAGCAACAGATTCCAATCCTCATCCTCGTGGGAGGAACTCACTTCAAACTGAACATTTCCATCAAAGGTAACATCAGACTTCTGCAGGTATTTGTGTGTGTGCACATTTCTGTCCCTTCTTTCATTTTGGAGCTTAGCAGTCAAAGTAACATTGTGAAAGACCTTTGTGCGTAGATAAGGCAAAAGTCACAACTTTGAACAATATCAGTGCAACGCCACTGTTTCTGGTTTGGACTACTTGTTGTTATCACACATAATGGTCCTGGCGACTGTTGGGTTCAGTTCAGGGTGAAATACCAACGTGTTGCACTTTGTTTGGTCTGCTTTCACACTACATTTGATTAAACCAACCAAACTGTCTGGACAACTTGGCACAGTACGACGTGTTGCCTCAAACAACACTTACGAAAATGAAGAGGACAGAGATAAAGAAGAAAATTATCAAAATGGAGCTGAATACCATACGGTTTTGCCAGCTTATTCACCAAAGTAACAATAAAGCAACATCAAATTTCACTTTTATATGTTTATGTAATAAATGTGTTTAGCAGGAAGGGCCCAGTATGAGCAGCAGGCAAGGCAGTAAACTGTCTAGCATGTGATTCTCTTCATGAGACGAATGAAGACCTCAAGCCCAGACAGCAGCTAGAGAGTACAATGTGTTGCCATGGTTACACAGACGCTGAGCTTGGTATGACCATAGACTGTATATACTATGTATATACAGTATATACTGCATATACTATGCTGTGATGACGCTCTGCTCAAACAGCGTATCCCCTGGGTGAGCTACACAATCTTCGTACGCCCATAGGCTGTATCAGGTGTCAATCATAGAAAACATGAACCCCCTAATAACTTTAAAACATGGAGCTGTACAGAAAAAAGGGGGCTTTGGCACAAACCAGTCTTACAATATCTACATGTCAACATCATTAATTAACATTAATTTCTAAAGTTTGTCCACAGCTCCATAGGGACTGCTGGAGAAGGCGGGATTTATGACGTATACTGCAGCACGTCACCAGAGGGTGCTGTTTTCGCAGTTCACCCAGCGAGGAAGCAGGCGGCGTCCATTCTATATGCAGTCTATGGGTATGACACATGGATGCACTGCTTGTTATGCTTAATGTTCACACTGCAAAAAAACAAACATTGGCAGTGATCCCCTCTTGTTATCTAAGGCTGAGGCTGTTTGTGGTCCTCACTGGGGCATAAAACTAAAGACTGCTAATGGTTTAACTTTAATGGTTTTGGCCAACTTTGTAGTTTGTTGACACTCCTTCAAAGATAAAGAGTTATTCTCAATACCTTCAGCCATACATGCTGAAAAAATCATATGAGAGGTCGTGGATCTTCTTTAAAAGGAAAGATGACAGTTTTTTGCACTTTTCGAAATACAAAAATATCAAATATATATATGCTGGTATTTTACTTTTGCCCTACTGGTTGTTTGATTAATTTACTGTTGTATCTAATTACCACTTTGAAAAGGGCAGTGGTTATATTGTCCTGAAGATGGAGAAATCACTGCACATATTGTACTTATTTCTCATTGAAATTTGTTTAAAAAAAGGTCTCATTTCATACATGTCGGTCCACTATGTCCGCCTCATGGCTTCACAGCATGCACACATCATAGTGCTGCACTAAAACAGTGATAAGACCTCTCCATCAAAGCCAAACGCTGCTATCTGAAATTAATCAACATCCCCTGAGTCATTCTGAATCCAGTATTCATGGCAGCCAAGGTATGAAAGTGTAATGAAATTTATTAGATCTAAAATAGGTGGGGACCCTAAAAGAATAATACCAGAGTTATTGAGTTTCTTGCACATCTCTGAGGAAAGAAATGACTTCTCATCCCTGGCACACACTTCAGTCCTATTCTCTGAGACGCCTGAGGCTTTTATCTAGGATGCATTTACCTAATATCTTTGCAGCACCAACATTAAAGGCATTTAGGAAATTTCTTGGAAGTTGGTTACATTGTGCAAAAATATCCCTTCAGTCAGCACTGTTATCTGACTGTCTAGAGCCGGAGTTAAAAATGCATTTGCAAATTGGAGTGAACTAGGCTGATTCTCAGAGTCTTTCCTAAGTTAAATTTCAAAACACAGTCGAACTGGAGGCATCGAAAATGCATCCCATACACAATATTTAGAGCCTCAGTCCACCTACACTTAAAAAAAAATGTTTTGAAAGATTGTTGCCGAGAGCCAAAAAAATGAAATCCCTCTTTTCAGAGAGCTGACAGAGATGACACAAGCTGTCAGTGTCAAAGCTCCTTAGTGACCTGAACAAAGAATTAAAGGAAAATTAGTTAGCCATGCTTCCTCTTTGGACACAGTTGACATTAATAAGAAGGATTTAGCTCGATAGCTGCTTGTCATGTTGGCCGCAGTCCCAGCTCTCAGTATCACTGCTGTTAATTAGAGCGACTAGTGTATCACCAGGCCTGTGTTGGGTATTTCCTTTTGTTTTTATTGATGCATGCTGCAGACTGTGGCCCATCTTGTTAAAATGCAGCACCAAGTTTCATCTGCAACTTTGTTTAATAGTTTTTTATATATTAAACATTATTCCACACACATACCATTCCCCAGGTTACTTGAAGTAATTACAGCAAACTGTTGGGAAGTGTTATTTATGTGGTTTTAATTATGTCAAACTTAAAGGAGTCCAACAAAGTTCCCGAGCGATGTGTGCAGGTTCTGCCTTCCCTCTCAGGATACCTGCGAGTCAGAGTTGTAGGGTCTAATCCATCTTCCTGCTCGCAGACGTGAAGGGAAAGGATTTGTCTTAGTTAGCTCTGTCACAGAACGGCAACTTGCGAGGACGGGTTTCCATCCGTCAGCCCACTTTAAAGTAGAAGAAGGTACAGACTTCGACCAACTTCACAGGGAGGAGGGAAGGATTATGAATTACTGTTTTTTCTTCTGAGAGTTCGATTCAAGCCATGTATCTACACTTCACTTTTTACTTTGTTTTAGAAAGAGAGAGAGAGAGAGAGAGAGAGAGAGAGAAAAAAGATTAAATTCTTTTGAGGACAAGTTTTAATCAATTCATTTTTATCTCAACATAACTCCTGTTGTTCACCATAACCTACAAGACCATCACATACTGTTATCTTTGGGTCATGTTTACCAACTGTGTTTTAGAATATACAGTATCTCTCATCAAAACCAACCTAAGCAGTTTTCAAAACAAACGTGACATTCACTTCTTTTCTGAAACATTAGCAAACACATAGGAGAGGCACAAGATTGACCTGTGTGCATTTGTTGGTGTCTAAAAACATAAGCCTATTGAATATCGCGCATCCAAACCAAGCATCATTCTCACCGGACAAAGACCCTTTCAATATTACAGACTTTTTACGCAGCAGGATTTCCATTTTCTGCGTCTTTTCTGCAAATACCACCTTTGCCTTAAGCTGAAAACGTACAGGATCTGTGTTGAACCGTCAAGCAGTCCTGTCTATCCTGGACAGGATGTGTGTTTGGAAAATACACATTCTATTGAGTTAGTATAGAGGAAACGACATGCTCACAACAGGTTGTTTTTCCTCTCTGCGGTCTATTTCCTGCTAATTTGGATTTTATTCAGTGACTGTTGAGCCTCTACTGTATATGAAAAAGCAACGTGATTTCACAGTTTCGGATTTTGCTGGTTTACTCGTGTTTAATAAAGTAAACTATGTTCCTTTATGCTGTGCTGTTTCCTTCAGACAGAGTTAGCAGTTAAAAGTCCTGTTGGGGTCCACATAGATCAGGGATTAACCACCAGATTGTTCTGTGTTACTGATAAATCTATACGCGGAAGTATTTCTCATCTACACAAACTGATACACAGTCAGGAGTCCGCATATGTTGTTCTATTTTGAAATACTGGATGACATGTCTGGTTTTTCAACAGCAAAAATAAACTAGTCGCATATCTTTCGCAGAGTAGCGCTCAATGCGCTTCTGCTATGAAGCTGCGAAGAAGCTGATACGTGTCCTGTATGCGATGCTGCACTGATTAGAATGGCAACCTATTTGCTGCGTAATGTGCAACGCTTACGGTACATGCTAAATACGGATCCTGTATGTTTTAGCCTTTACTCTAGTACTGTGCTTAAACTTGCAGTTCCACTACCTCCCTAGCACCTACCTGCACTCTCCAACTCCAGTGGCTTTTAAAATGTTAACCAATCACTCTTAAATTTCTTCATGCATATTTAATCTGTGAGGAGTGATGAGATTCAGAGCCTCTATTGCTGCAGTAAAGTTTAGACCAAATCAAAGTGATTTCACTGACATTATCTAAATGCCAAATATATCGCCGGCTCCTCTGTTTTCCTGCTGCAGCTTTAAGAATAAAAGCAATATCAACATTTCAAACATGATCAACATCTCTCTTTTGTTTCTGTCCGTTTTTCCTCTCCAATCCTAAACCCCAACTCTTAAATTTACTGGGCCTGATCACAGTAATTGCTGCATTTCTTTAGGCTTTATTTTATGTATCTACTGCCAATGATAGTGGGTATACTATACTAAATCAGCTTGTTTATCGTACACCTCCTGCAGCACTCCCTCTCTGGAGTCTTGTGCGTGATTGTTTCTAGATTTTATTTCCCTGACTTCTTTCTAATCACACTTTCCCTCCTGTTTGATGCCCTAGGCTTTTCTCAGGAACTCTCTAAAGACTGAATTTCTGAAACAACTTGGGAAGCTGTCAGTAAATGAGGGCTTTTGGCCTTACTCTACAGTCTGTATGATATACTTCAACTAACTTTAACTCTCTACAATTAATTACTAAAAATGATATCGCAATTAAGGAAGATCCTGTGCGCCAAAGTCAAGGTTAAAACATCGTTCATTTAGCTGAACACTCGTTAAGTATCTCTTGAGTTTATTCAGGATGGCGTGAGTGGTGGAACGAGTGTGTTTGATACTGTTACACCTCTTAAGCGCGTACTCTGGGGAAAACAGAGTGACTCTAATGACTTTCGATAACTTCTCTGCTCTTCATTTACTTACAAGGATTTAAGCTCTGTGATTCTCGTAATTGGTAACAAGATTGGGCAAGGGCAAAGATGAATCATACATTATTTAATAACCTGATGCCCACATTGTTTCTTAATTTGTTTACTACAATGAACAAAGTGCTTGTTGATACAATGAAAACTTGGCCTTACTTAATTTGTTGTAGCTAATCAGATTTCCCTCCATCTATTTTGTCAGCAGGAAAACAAAACTTTATTCTGTTACCCAGGGGGATTCAAAGCCACTTAGTATGACTGATAAAAAAAATCACAATGAATATATTACTAAAAGAAATAAATACATGTATGATGAGAAAAATGAACAACAAAAAAAGTTCCTGTGCAAGTATGAGGATGTGCAAAGATGTGTTGGTCTTGCTGAATCATTTTCTGTCCAGAGGTGGGGCGGTGGGATTCTTGTTGCTCAGCAACCAAGCAAGCTGGCCAAGGACAGCCAGAAATACTGTATGACTGTCCTTTAGGAGACACCTGGTCTCCACTACCTCAGACGGCAGAAATGCATGCTCCTGCCTCCTCAGATCCATGTCTTTTGCTGGAGGAGCTGCAGGTACTGGTCCTGCTGCTTACAGCTCTTTTCCCTCCTCCATGTCTCACAAGGCATCCCTCTCCCTTTATTCTTGCCTGGGTTAGAAATAAAAAACACGCTGACATGAGTCCAATAAAAGAACAAATCCTTGATGGCAATATTATGGTTGTGTGGTGCATGTATACAATTTTTTAACTTGGGTTTTAGGTGTAGACATTGTAAGAACTGCTAGTAGTCTCATAATCCTGCGAAATCTATGCCTCAACTTTATCATTGCATATAGCCCTTTCCAACTCTGATTGGATGTCTTCCTTGGTAAAAATGATGAGCAGGGCCAGTGCCTCGGTGTAGGTTCACTGATCATATGTCTTATTGTCTCCATCCATCTTGAAAACTGGCAAAATGCTGACTCATTGAACAATGCAAAGCAAATAAACAGTAAGCGAGCAGCTGCAGTCCTTTTAAACATGGTGGGCAGCATGAAAACTATGACTGCTGGACCAATCAGAAATGCTCAGCCTTTAGCCCCCCAAGAATACTAGGGCCATTGGAAAGTGCTACCCCCTGAGAAGGGACTTTCGGGGGGTAAATCACATACGCCAGAACTAACTTAAGACCTTAGTTCCTGTGGTTGTGATGCACAAGGATTTCTAAGTCCAGCACCCAGATTTTGATCAGTTGTGACATCATAGGGTTTTTTGGAAAATCTGACATGTAAGGTTCGTGGTACACAGAAAAAAAAATAGGCCTGTGTGAGGTGATGTTAATCTGCAGAAAATCACACACCTCTTCTGACAGAGACAAACACGTTTGAGTGTTACTTCACAGGACTTCAGATTCAAAAGGTTAAAGTCTTTGCAAAAAGGAAGTCATTTCAAGTTTTGTGCTTTTCAGTCTCAGGATGTTCCAGCTTTGAAGTTAAATTGTCAGTAAAAAAAAAAAAAAAAAAAAGAAAAACTTTGCTGAACAAGACAAATTATCCCCAGGATGTGAAACAGCCTCTAGTCAAAGCAGGTCATTGAAAAACCTGTAAACCTGAGACTTAACGTCTGCTGTCCTCAGTGCAACGACTGTGAAAGACTGTGACAGGGTTTAAATACAAACAGAAACCAAATCTGTGTGAAGCATTGGCTACAAACTCTGGCGGGAATGAAGGGAGCAGAGGACAAAGTGTTCAATCCCAACACCTTTTTCTCTTGTTTTATCCTGTTCAATCTGCCCCCACTTCCCTGAGGTTTCCAAACCTGCCTGCTTGTGTTTGACCCCACTGCCTGCTTTTTTCCCTCTAGGTTTGGATGCCTTGCTCGGACTGGTCCTTTTCTTTGGGTCTGTTAATTTGGACATTGATCCTGTAAATTCCTTTTCGTTCGACCGGCTCTGCTCCGGTGTCTGGATTTGGGTCCCTGATCTTATTGTACAGAGATCCTTCATGGGCAGTGTATATAAAGAAAAGGTTCAATCAAAGACTTTCAAATTGTTTTATTGATTGGTTCTGAACAATTGCAGTATTCCTTACTTTGATAGCACTCCTGTAAAATAGCTTTTACAAGATATCTGGACAGCCGAACCCACAGTGGTCTCACTTACAAATTCAGTTTATTCATAGCAATATCATCACAGGTGACATATACTGTAAGTCATTGCAAACAGCTGATATGGATGTTTGTATGCTTGGCTCTGAACTGGTTGTTGATGTGTTGATATGAAGCAGGTCAAAAACAAAACCTCATCAGATGAAGAAAGGATGTAAAAAAGAGGAAACTTTCCTAGCAAACAACACAGAGCTGTAAAAGTGACGTCCTGTTAGCCTCTTGCTAATGCTCATTGACACATCAATCCTATAGTAATACTCTGAAAAGGTGTACATCATCACTTATTGTAGCGGAGGCTGACATGCTTTTTTAATCGTCATTATGACTCTAACTGTCTCCACACACCAAGCATGAGTAAATTCCGTGTGAATGAATTACATGTTAAGTCAATGCAAAGACACGATTAGATGCTCGTACTACTCTGGTGGCGTGAATGACATGAATTGGGCGGGAGCTGAAAATGTCTCAACCAATCAGCACGAAAGTTATCGGGTGACGTATGAAAACAGACGGTATGAGGAAAAACTGATTATGTCAGTGTGTGGGTGGCCCGAATTATGATACCTTTTCTTTCAATTTCTTTAAAACCAGAATAGAAAAGGAGTGAGGAGGTCAGATTACCTGGTAAATTTTAAAAAACCTTTGTCTATCACTTGATCCTGCCAGTAGAATTGGCAGAGATTACGTTCATGCCTGAATGAAGCAACTAAATACTATTCATTCACACGTCTAGATTCGTGCGAATTCAGTGAGTAGATTTAACTTGAGCTTGGTGTGAGTGCCCCATAAGATAATATTAGGTGTACTTTCAGTCCCTTATTTATCAATGATTTTTTTCATACCTCTGTCCATTTTGAGTTTGATTAAAAACTTAATGTGTGTTTTTGTATCCTATTAATCTTTGTGTGTGTGTTCATCTTTACAGCCTGATTAACTATTAGGAATTACAAAAGGCAGACTATAAATGTTATGTGATAAGTAGCTGGTTTTAAGGTGGAAAAATAACTGACGTGGAGCAATGTTTTTTCTTCTTGCTCACTCATCCTCCCTCCAACACCTCCGGCTGTTTCTGAGCAGAAGGCAAATCAAGAACAATCAGTCGACTTTCACTCAACCACTGCCTCTGAACTACTTCACAATAACTGAATACTGGGATTACCTTGGCGAATATTTCCCACTTCAGCCAGACAACCAACCCAGTTAATTAGTTACCTTTGCATACCCACATCTTGAACATGATACAGAGGGGACAGACCTTTAAAATCAGAGCCACTGAGAGACTGATTTGCCTGCAGCCTCTCATCACTCTGTGGTGGCGTGATGGGGATCATCAGCGACACAGAGGCCATTAGAGAACAGGTGGATCTAATTGTCTTAATCACAGCCTGCGCTGCCCTGGCACCACTGACGCGGAAGTCTTTTAGAGGTAAAATTTCAGTCTCACTTCTTCATTAACTTTGTACAACAGCTGATAGGAACATTTTTCCCATCAAGAGATTATTATTTGTGTTGGAAAAAGAACAGATTAAACCAACACTGTTGATGATGTTTATGTAGCAGTTAGATGTCTCAGTATTCAATTACTGTATACCTGAAAGCTCATTAGCAGGGAATTATGTTGTTGAGACCTTTACCAAATGTCCACTGATTTTGTCGATGAATGCAGTAGGACTCAGATAGTGGAGAGGAGACCCAGACATACAGTTTTAATGCTTATATGATTTTTTTTCATCATATAAACCCTAATCAGTGTTGCCACAGTTGCCTTGATTACTTCTTGAAAATGTAACTTAGTTACTTTACTGATTTCTCAATTTTAAAAGTAACTAGTTAGATTACAAGTTACTTTATCAGTTACATTCAGCAGCTGCCAACAACAACCCCCAATGCCTCAACATAAAAATGAGCCAGTCGTGTTTAAGTGCAGCATTTCCTCGACAACACACCGCCTGACCAACTTCTTCAATTCTCCACCACATACTCATTTTGCACCAGAACAGCTTTGTTTGACTGTGCTGTACTTTGATGTTTCATCAAATCTGACATCGTGTTTTTGAAACTAGATAACACTTTATTGCCGCTGCCAACACAGAGTGTAGAATGAACCTTAATATTGTCGTCTTTAACAGACACAAAATCAAAGAAGTGACTGTATTTCCAGCTAGAAAACATTCTCCCTCCAATGTTGTTTACGTCAGTGTTGCTGGCTGCTTGGTATGTATTACACGTGAGGTGTCCTCATCCTGAAAACGTGACTTGTCACATACGCGACATCACTCCCTGAGATACAAGAAGAAAGCACATATTTCTTATTACCAATGAAAATGACAGAAACAGTAACACACAGTGATTTGGATAAGTAACTTTAATCTGATTACTGCAAAGATTTTGCATGGCTTAAGCATAGTAACATGTAAGACGTGTTTCATGTTTGTAAAAAAAACAACTTATTTTTTCTGTTGCTGAAAGACCAGCTTCATTCAACAAAGATAAACCTATGAGAGAGATCTTCTCAATGCACCAACTCCACCTCAGAACATTTGAAGGTGTTTTCAAAGGCTCTCACCCTCCATCTGTCCAGACCCACACATTTCACAGTAGGTCATGGGGGTCCTGAGACAATCCCAGCATGCATTTGGTGAGAGGCGGGGTTACGCTGCTGGAGAGGTTGCCAGTCTATCGCAGGTCTAATACATACAGACAAACATTCACACTCACATTCACACCTACGGGCAATTTAGAGTTTTCTTCCACCCGACCTGCATGTCTTTGGTCTGTGGGAGGAAACAGGAACACCCGGAGGGGGACACACGAGAACGAACCAACAACAAATAACACAATCTCATACTGTGAAACTTGACTTTTGACCCCCCCATCAATAAGAAGGTTAAAAGTGGAAGGTTTTGCTTACTTTGTTTTTATTCCAGCCTCATTTCCTTTTTTATTTTCCTATTGGATAAATCTTCGCTTTATAGGAAACTTGAGCCAAAATCTGAGCATCTGTATAAATGCTTTTATTAGAAGTAATGAATTTATGCACAGCCACCTACGGGAGCTATTTCCATGGAATTCAAATTTCTCAGCATGCCAGGGATGTAAAATGAAGAACAAAGCTTAATTTGAGTCACAATGCATACTAACACACCATTCCTCGCTCTGATGCACCTCATTCTCTATTCAGCACCAGAGTTGTTGTTTAGTCGAGTGCAGAGGAGGTTCAGTCCAAATTACCTCTTTTTTCACACTTTATCCTTCAAAACTAGTTTCTGATGCAGTGACAGAGCACAGTCTTTAGTCCCAAATAGAAAGAGTTTAAAAGGTTACCACCAAAGAACAATTTAAGCATTTGCTCATTTCATGGGGTAGAGTTTTTAGATTGAAGACAACACAGTTTTTGTCTTTCTTAATTGCAGCGCACAGAATTTAACTTCTTTCGTTTATATAGGAGTGAATGTACACAGTAGATGGACGTCTTTTCAGATTTGGACATCTCTTCGGTCTAATGTGCTAATTACAATCTCTAAGTTGCCCAAAGGGACAGGAGAGCAGCCAGGTGTCCATGCTGAATGAGCATCTTGTGAATTTAAGTTCAATAAAAAACTGAATCTTAAAGGGATATTCTGGCATAAAATCATGTTAGGGTCAAACACACAGTAACACCAAGTTATACACCT